CCAGATGAAAATTTATGGCCTTTGTGTTTTATCTTATATATAATAATTAGTTAGTTATAGATGTAAGTTATACATCTTACAAAGATGATAAAATCATTTGTTACATTGAATTTGCATTTAAATGACAAATGAAATCATTACATTTTCAAAATATCAAAATTAAACCAGAAGCCTGAATTTGTCTCGTTTATAATATTTACCTTTTCAACTCATGATGCATTTACTTTAAGAAAGCTTGTCCTTTCAAACGAAAAGTCAAATTCAAATGTTCAGTGTGTCAGGTGTAAGGTGAAACAGTTCAGTGTGTTTTAGTGGCATCTAGTGATGAGGGTTGCAAACAGCAACCAACAGCTCACTGTGAATTCACACACTCCTCTGATGGTCCCATCAGAAGCCGTTATTAAAGTACTTCTACTTCGTCAGAATGTGGAATCAACATGGACACTACTACAAAGATGTGTTGGTTTAGCATTAGTCCACTCTACATGGACAGCAAACTAACCATTATAAATATGTTATATTACACTACATTAAATTATGTTAGCAAAATATGTATGCGCAATACATGATTTTGCACAAATCAAAAATTTCATACCATCAACGATGTTGTCCACCCTGTTTCTATGTAAATAACGTCAACAACTCAGCTGCTCCTGTACCAAAATTTCCTTCGACTTAATTTGAGCAGATTCCTAATTGACCATATTATATTATATATATAGACAATGATGTGAGGGAATGTGGTATTTTGCTTAATAAAAGTCAAAGAAAATACGTAGTTCACAATAAATGTATTAATTCTAATGGCAAAATTCCACATACATAAATGTAAATTCAGCAGTAAAAAAACGTAACCTTGTACTCAATTTAATTTCTAAATCCAACAACAAAAAGGCTTTGAAAACTGTCAACATATGGTCCTCTTTTATGGTCCTCTGTTGTGTATACTTTATGCCCTATGTACACTTTATTCCTTTATGTTACAATTAAGATTTAAGGAGGAGAAGCTATGGTGGCTGACACGCTCCGTCAGCTCTTGTGCTAAATAATTTGTGTGGCCTTCCATTTGTCCAAATTTCACGTCTCTTCTTACTTCTAATAAACCAGACTACTACTACTACTTCTAAATATTAGACACTGAACCTTTAAAAATATTCTTGATCTTTTATTTGATATTCTTCTAAATCATCATCTAAATCAAATTAAACTGTAAAAATATATTATTATCCTGGTGGCACACTCCAGACTCCACACATATCGCTGTCAATGAAGAAAAACTGACACATACCTACTAAGTTACAGTACATTTACAGAACTTTTTTTTCCTCTGTGGAATCAATAATACAGTATTGTATATATAGTATATATATAATGATTCTTTCTATGGTGCTCAATTAGCGTATTTGGTTTCAGCATAGATGGATGGATTATATTTTAGTATGATTTCTATATTACCACATACAGTTTCATAAATGTGATCCCACTAGTGTATGTGGCTCTCCAAATAAAAATGAAATCAGATAAAATGATATTTGCAGCTGTCAGTGAACTTTGAACACAAAACATTAAAACTTAGCCATATCATTAACAGCACACCCACAGTACATAGTAACAGCGACCTGTTGGGAGTCCGGGCTGCTAAGATTTTATTTGTGCCTGTTTGGAATCTGGGTAGCTACCAGTACATGTTATTATTAGTGCAACAGAAATTCCTATTTTGAAGGGAATATTTAACTTGCTCGATGTCACTGTCAGAATGCCTGCCTGCTTTTTATTGCCAACAGCAAACTAAAAAAGAAAGTCTGTAAAACAGCATTATCATACACTAAACATACAGATGTTTTGTCCTTTTGGGGGAAGAGGATCTCTGTCATACTGATGTACTGTTCATCAGAATGACTACTATTGTGTGACCATTACACACAGTCACACATGTGACATATTGTTAGTATTAAAAGAATTAAGTGTAGCTATAACAGGCAGAAATAGATAAAGGCAATCTGTGCCTGAGCTTGTACAACTGAGCCCCAAGTGAGCAAGTAGTAACTGCATCTTTATGTTTTTATGCACAGACACAAATATCCTTGCATCTAAATGTTTCCTTTATATTCGACCTTACCTCTTGTATGGTGGGATATTCTTGGGGGAAAAAAAAACAACTTCTTTCTTGATTTCCTGACTTCCTGGTGATGAGTAATTGTTGCAGCTATGACAGCAGACGTTTAAATACAAAACTGTGTATACTCATAGCTCGTGTGGCCACACAGCACCCACTGCGTGTGTATGCAGCAATACATGCCTGAAGAAGCAGCACAGACAGGCCTGGGAAGGGAAAGAGGCTTTGGAGCCTACAGAATTTGAAAAGCAAAACTTTTCCACTCTACAGAAAACAAGTTCTCAGAGGCATCCAATGAAAGTTGTGCAGCACCTCAGCAGAGAGTGAAAGAGAGAAGAGAGTCAAGCAGTGCTACCTGAACTTCATCTGCTGATTCATCTCCCAGGATTCAGCATCTTGAGCTCTATTCTCACGTGTGAAGACAACCAGAGACATGTGTTACACATGTTAAACAAGTGGACTGCAACTTACTTCTGACAAAATCCGTGGCTCAGTTAGGTCACACAATGCTTGGCTCTGCTTTATGTAATCATTTTTATTGGTTTATGATAACACTGTACTCACCAAAGTTACTGCCAAAATCTAGGAACACAAAGGAGTCACCCATCAAACCAATAGTCTACCCGGATGATCTAAATGATCTTTCAAACATTTTATAGCACGAAGCGACATGACCAAGTGACAGATGCAACATGCTCAAACATCAGCTAGTCATTTTTAACAATGCTCAGATTCCATGCAAACCTTGTTGGAGAGAGTGAGGTGGAGCTGGTCTAATGCTATACTGAACAGAAGGACTGGCTCAGATCACTGGAAGTTCAGTGTTAGACTGAGCTGAAGGCAAAGACTGTATACAAGAAGTGGATGTGGCCTCTGGGTCTGAAAAGTGAAGCCACGGGAACAGTCGGGTCGTGTGGTAGGAAGTACAGATAGAACGTGGAGTCATCGGCATAGTAATGTTGAGAATGCCAGTCAGTCAGAACAGAGAAGCTAAACGTCTTCAAGTAACCATGTCCACTTGTGCTTGATTTAACCTTCCTTGGACACCTTGGTGAGTACAATATTATTATTACTACCAATAGGAATGAAAGCCAAAACTACAAAAATAAGTTTGAATCAACCGGAATTGTCCTTTTAATGTTGATGACATAGTAAGTAAACCGTAAGTAATAATGGAAAAATCTCACTTTCTTACTTGCTCTTTAGAAATAAGCTGATAGTCAGCATGAAGCCACTGGAGCCTTAACTGTTCCTCACAGTATTGAAAGTATCAAAATCTAAAATCTTTTTCTTTCTTTTTTTTTCAATATTTGGACCCTGCCTTTGTTTTTCACAGTACCTGAAGAAGATGTCCCTGGGTTGGCGGCTGGAGTTTGGGTGTACCAGTTGCTCCTTCAGGTGCTCCAGAGAGCAGTTGTAGACGTAGACTGGAACCTTTAATTGGCTGCTGTCAGAAACCTGCCTGCTGAAGCTAATGTGGACATTGGACTCCTGTGGTTCAGAGAACTGAACTCCCTCTTTCTCCCCCAGATCTGGAAAAGTTAGAAAAGTCAAAGTTTTTCCCCAAATTGATCAGCCCTAGCGGTCTGTTAAATATATGTACTCTACGTAATGTGCTAACAGTTAACAGTGTGTGGCACTGCTTAACTTTGGCTCTTAAAAGGTACAATGTGTAAGAAATTAGACTACTCTCCAGCTGTCGAATGATGGCAGCATATCAGTTCATAACTGCTGCTAATTGCCGTAAGTTAGCCATGCATCTGACTTAGTGGTCCTATTAGCTGACTGAGTCCAGAATGAGCACTGTTACTTTTTCTAGATCTGTTGGTAATTTTTTGTAATAATTTAAACTAAACTTCTGACCAAATCTAACACATTGTACCTTTAAATCATTTTGACTGGTCTACACCAAATTGGTTTTGAATACAACTCTGGACAAAGCATTAGACCTGAGCCTGGGGTCCCGGACTCTGTCTCCAACACTCTGCTGTCCCAGCTCTCCTGGTCCAGGATCATGGAGTCAGGAGGCCCAATCTGGCCATCGGACTGTGTTGAGAGCAAAGGGGACCTGGCGATGTGTCCACTGCTGGAGCTCCTTCGCAATTTGCTGGCCAGACTGAGGCTGGATTCAGACCTCTCTGGCCCACTGGTGGAGCCAGACAGGGAGTCGGCCTGAGATTTGTTGCTGGGAGTCAGCGTGTCGTCCTCCTGCGTGCTGACGTTACTCTGAGGCTCTGTCTCCAGCCCTGACGCCATCAACTTCAGAACATCTGCAAAATATACAACATATCCACATTTAGGTCTTTTGCATTATGAGATGTGGTCAAAAACCTAAGAACCACATTAACGTAACCAAAACTCAAGGTGTACCTGTGAAGGAAGCAGGAAGGAAGGTGAGGAGGATCTGCTGCGAGCTGATGTACTTGGCGTAGCACCTCCACTGTGGCGTAGAGCAGCCGCTCTCCCCCAGCAAGGCCTCTTCATCCACAAGGTCTGCATTACTGAAACTCTGCCGGAGACAGAGAGGTAACACGTGTTTGTTACTGTACTTGTAAGGACTTGTTAATAGAGTACTACATTTAATGCATCTAATGATAACCACAAACCCAAACCTTTAACTCATTACACCTACTCTGACCTCAAAGTCAAACTCAGGTAAATGTGTTTAGTTTTGCCATTACATGTTTATGATATTGATGATATGATTGTTGGTAGATGGAAAACCACAACTCTTCTATATTTCATTCCACTTTTAGTCTGTTATTCCCAGCTGTATGAGTACATTAATATAATATACACAATAATTAATATATTAAAAATATAAAATTACAACATGTATTGCTCACTTACTATTATGGCATAATGTTTTTTATGGATGGGCTACCTGTAAAGTGCTGGTGGATCCCATCACCTCTTTGCTGCTGCCTGTGGTGTGGAAAGACGTCATAGTGTCCTGTCTGTCTGCAGGCTTTATGTACTCCTCTGACAAAACACAAAACATCCATGTTTGAGCTTGGAATCAACAGTGACTCTGATCAAACTGGACACCAGAAGGTCCACGTCAAAAAGCTCTGGAGCTCTTTTATGGAAGTAAACCTTTCACAAAGTCACATACATTATCAGGAATAATGGCTGAGATGAGACGCAGAGACATGTGCTGACCTTTAATAACAGGTAAGGAGAAAGGAGCCACATGGCCGCCTCGCTCTCGTTCCAAGATGTGGTGCATGAAGGTAACGTGGTCGGCGTCAACCAACGGGATCTCTCTGTCACTGAGATCGTGCTCCAGGCTGCCGTGGAAGAGGCTGAGCAGCAACTCGTTGGACAGACAGGGGGGAGCTGTGGACCTGCTCCTCAGACTCCCCTGCTACAGACACACATGACAACATGTAAAGCATGCCCTGGTATCCATTGATTTGCCCGCTTTGTTTTTTGTTTCATTTTAAAAAGCTGTAGAAAAAGGATTTATTTCATGATGGATGTATATTATACAGAAGCCCTTAGAGGCAAGAGAAAAAAAAATATTCTGCTGATCCATTTTCTAAGTCTGATCTAAATAGTTCTTTAGTTTTGTGAAAACAGGTGAAAAAAACAAGTACATAACTTGCGAACACATTTAGCTTATGTTTAGAGTGCATGGACAAATAAAAGCTCCCCTGGAAGAAACCATAGAGTAGTGGTGCACTTCAGCCTCTTGTGGCCAAAATGAGTATTACAAAAATTATCCTGGCAAAACTTTTTCCCCCACAGATGGACTGTATGAGCACAGTACCTGTACTGAATGTGAGGAAGAAGAGCTCAACCTGCTGGCATTTTGGGAGCAGATGAATGAGGTCAAACTGGAATGGAACTGTGTGAATGCTGTCCTCAGGGACAAGGGCTTCTCCTGCTCACAAAGAGGAAACCCAGCCATCAATTAACGACTACAAAGACACATACACAGATTTTACATTACAAACATGCGTCACTTGACAGAGCTAGTGGCTGCAGGGGACATGTATTAGTACAACACAAATATATTGGTACTTTGACAGAAAAACTTTAGTTATATCCGATTAAATTAAATTACTGTTAATCTAATGTTAATAAACTCAACAGTTCCTACACAGATGTTTCACATTAAAAGATCAGTATTTCTGTTATAGAAGAGAAACTCAGTACTGCTGTGGAAATGTACATTATGCTGAATTTATCTAATTAACTATTACTACTATAGTACAAGATATTCCTTCTGTCCTCAGTTTTTTACCTGGCTTTTATTAGAGGCCAGATTTTGTGTGTCACCGTTGGCCATGTCCCAGTTATTCTGTGAGAATCAGTTTTTAAAAATTCTGGCTTTTATTTGAGAATTTATGGTATTACAGTATTACAGGGGTGCTGTTTCTGACCCATTTAATTCAAGATTTAATAAAGTGAAAGACAGAAATGCTTCTTTTCGTTCACTCATTTCTATGGCATTTTTTATCAATCGATCAAGTTATTTTGCGTGTGTTGCTTCAGTACAGCCTTTGCCTGAGTTACCTGAATGAGCTGGTGATCCCGATCAATAAAAAAATGTCACGATAAGATTTTATATACATATCATATGATGTTTCCTTATAGATTATGCTACCCAGCAGTAAAACAGCAGCTGAATTCAGTTATACCTCGACACACTTAATTAACCGCTGTTTACACATTAATGCATCAGTAATAATAACCCAAAATTATAATAGAGAATAGTACAATGCTCACAAGGCATAAAGACCACTTTTACATTTGATACTTCATTTGATTATAATACTTTGTAATATTCCATCGCATTCACATTCACACACATTCATACACTGGTGAAACAGCCACCACGGACTTTTCAAGGTTCAGTATCTTCACACTCCAGGCTACACTATGACATGTAGCCTGGAGGAGTCGGGGATTAAACCGCCAATCTTCCAATTAACAGGCAACCCACTCTACTTCCTGAGCCACAGCCGCCCTTTCACCACAGTATGGATCTTCCTCCATACTTCGTCCACTGCTGCTGGCCACCATGTACAGTGTCAAGTAACAACATACAACATGTGCTTTTCTAAAGAGCAGTGAGTTTTATTACCTCTCATATCCTTGAGTCCAGCTGGCAGTGAGCAGACCTGATCTTTGTTCTGACACAGTTGGCTCAAATACTCAAAGGTCATCATGGTGGACATACAGGCCAGATCCCTTGGGAAGATCTAGAACAAAACACCAGGTCACTATTAAACTCAGTCTAAGACTTCTTAAATACAGTTAACTTTACACACAGAAAAAATTAGCTCTCTGCCTGCACACCGTCACACACTCAATAGTGTGACGGACCACCACTCTGGGACTAGCTGCTGTATACACTAGTTATACACACTGCATGAGGGATCTCCTGGTATTTGAGGCCCTGGAAGTGGCGATGTTGATCCATGCAGTTCATCACTGTGCCACTCTGGGGTTCTACCCAGCACTCTGTCACAAGGTTCAGCTCGGTGTCCACATCTACAGCCTCCACCTCGGTGTCGTTGTCATCATCAGTGGAGAAACTGGAGTCCCATGAAAGACAAAGGACAACGGGATGTCAAAGGTGCCAGTACAGCTCAAGCAAACTAAGTACAGCATCTTACAATGAAATTTTTTTTTAAGTCTATTAGGGGATGTGTTCAGTGACACTACGAAGGCAATGCACAATTACAGCCAGTTTTCATGACGGAGGGTCAGTGTGAACGCCAAGGTGTGCAGCACATCCACCTGTGCTAAAACAGGTTAAGTTCAGAGACCCTCCCTCTTCTTGAAAAACTACTAATCAAAACCTGCAGACTGTTGGATCTAAGTGCCACATAGCTTGGCCACGTTTCTTTCTTTTGCACCATCTTATGGTTGTACCACAAACAACACTCTGAATAACTGTCCACGTCTGTGATTTGTTCATCAATACAACCCACGAGCCTGGCTCTTTGGTGTTGCGGTCAATTTGCATGTTTGGTACCTGGTAGACCGGCGGTCGGCAATAGGCGGCCGGCGAGCCAGAACTGGCCCTCCAGCAATAATATCTGGCCCGCGGCCAGATTGCTTTGATAGCAGAAAAATAAAAAATAAATAAATTGATGGTGGCTGGTGCTGAAACAGAGCTCAGTCATGACAGCTACAATTACTCACATAATCACTTCCTCTTAAGTGATTGTACCTACAAAATAAAAGCACGAGAACTTTTTTGCAGCAATGCTTTATGTTGACTTTACTGAGAGCTTTTACTTCAAAAGTTCTGAAGGACATTCAAAAGAGTCTCTGGCGTGCTTTACATATCTCTGAAAAAGCAGTCAGTAAACGTATGATTGGATTAATTTCCCTGAATTTCCTCAGGGAGTCCATAGATTTATACAACTCCCCCAATGGGAGTCCTCCACTCCACCTGCTGAGCTAAACGTGCATTTGAGTATCCAAGGGTTGGAAATAATTTGACTATGTTCTGTCCGCCATGTAATGGCTTGAAAGAAATTTGGCCCGATGCCACACTTGCCGACCCCTGCCATAGACCCAAATTTGAATTCCTTCGCTACAACCAGGAATGTGATCGGCCATTGCAATGTTTTGCTAGATGATGTCACCTTGTTTTGCAACAAAAGTTGAGTTAAGTTAAAATTCAGCCAGCATCAGCACACCATTCAAATGAATGAGGGGCTGCATTCTGTTAATCCCATCCGTCGGACTAAAGTCAGTTAAATAAGGTGTGATTACTGCCAGTCTCACCTATCCTTGGTAGACGTAGAGTGAGGTGGAAACAGGATGTACTGAACAATACAAGAGGGACTCTCTGTGTCCGTGTCCCCTGACATGCCCTGAGGATACAAAGCCAAATCAGTGGAAATTACAGGTGGAAAAAAATTAGGAACAGCAGTGATCCCCCCCCCCACACACACAACAAACCAACAAAATGGAAACCTAAATCATTTGGTGGCTGATCTTTACCTTCATTGGCAGCTCAATCACCATGTTAACGATGCCCTCTCCACTAGCAGCAAAGTGAAAGCCTTCTGATATACGGATCCTACAGACATCAAGAGAGGCAACAAACACACATCAAACCAATCCAGACGCAATTATTTAAAAGTAAAATGATTAGATTGGAAATGCTGTAATTATACACTAATGAAATAAGAAACCTCAGATCACATCTGCAATCCAAGTCTGTTGCAATGTGTCACTGAATGTATGGAATCAGCCTGTGCCGATAATATGTAAAACAGTAAATTCTGCACATTCTCAATTAAAAGTGGACATTCAAATAATGACCCAGTCTTAAAAATAGTAGTAGCTGGGAGGAATAAAGAAGCCCAGGTACATTTACTCATTTGGCAGACGCTTTTATCCAAAGCGAGTTACATTTGAGGAACAACATACAATCATTAACAGAGTATAAAACACAGCACGAGATCTACAACTGACATTAGATATTAATAAAAGCAGCAATAAATACTAGTAAGTGCTAATGGCACATATCACATCAATGGGGTAAATACCTAGGGAAGACATTAGAGTTAATAAAAAGTGCAATCAATACAAGATAATTGTAGGTGATAGGAGAAGAGCACAGGAAGTGCGTGTTAGATGTTAGGAGTTAGAGGTGTTATAAGAGGAAGTGTTCTCAGAAGAGTTTTCAAGAGCTTCTTGAAGTTAGAGAGGGACGCCCCTGCTCTGTAAATAACACTGACAGAGTACTACAATCAATTACTGTCAGGTGTAGTGTCTCAAATACTTGTGCAATATAATGTAAATGTATGGTGAGAACTGTATGATGTATGTGAGTGTGAAGTCCATGTGTGTTACTGTTGTTACTGCAGCCTTATGCAGCACTGATGCCCAAGACAAATTTCCCTTATGGGGATATTAAAGTTGATGTTATCTTATTTTAACCACTCACAGTCAATTCAGCACAAATGGTAAACATGGCGGAGGTTCCCACAGACTATTTAAGAATTTACGGCATTTGTAAGTTATTATAAGCATCCTAAATGAAAAAAAGAGAGAGAAAACCACCGTACATCTATCTTTTGTGTTTTTGTAAAATAATTCATTTAATAATTCTTTAGAAAGATTAAGAAAATGCATTGTTTCTGACATTGATCTGAAAACTTAAAATACCCCCAAAAAACATTTCAAAGAAGGTGCCAGTGGGTGAACTCACTCGGAGAGCATGGACAGGATGTGAGTGACGGCCTGCATGGCCACAGTCGGCCCTTGGCTGCTCTGCACGGCCCACACCCAGCGCTGGTGGAGGAAGTAACGGGACAGGGAGGCCAGGGTGGAGGAGGCTGTGCGGTTGGCTGCCATGTTGAGGGGGATGGCACTGTTGGAGGGCTGAGGAAAATTCTCCATGTTGAAAATGAAGGGGGTTCTGAAGTCCAGCGGCAGCTTCTCATACCTGCAAAGCATCTGCGATTAATTTCATTAAAATGTGTCCAGCAGTCAGCCTCCTTCCTCACAGAGGACACACTGCGGGAGCTTTGATATCTTTACACATCACAGTCAGACACACTTGAAGGCACAGCCAAGTGTAACCAATTAGATCAGTGCGGGGAAATTAAAAAGACAATTGATACATTGCCAAACTACGTCAGGCTTATTGTGACTTTATGAAAGCCTGGCTTTTTATTCGGTTCCATGTTGTGCACTCATGATGGCCTGCTATGTCTGTACTGACCTTATGAGCAGCTTCTCCAGAGGCTTATTGAGCACAACCACACAGGGTCTGTCTGACAGTGAAGGTTTGGGAGCAGGGATGGAGGGAGATTTGGAGGGTGATGGATTGCCTACAATCTTCCTCTTGGTCTTGGGGGTGGCCTCTTTGTTCTGAACACGGTGAGGGAAGCGAAGTTTGAGGATCTGCTCTCGCAGCTCATCCACAATCTGATGAGAAACACAAATGTTATGACGGGTTAACACAGAGAGAGACCCTTTTATGATTTCACTGAAACTGTACAGAGGTGGCCAGCGCCTGGCTGTGCTGACCACTGTCACCATGTTTTGATTGATCAATATGTGACCCTCCCACTGTTTGGAGGTTGTACTGCCAACCTCAGCAGGCAATTGGCTGAATTGGGAGGGTCATCAGCCGATTGCGCTCACCTGGGCCCATGGGCTATAAAATCTGGCACATGTATTCAGTACGGTCTCTCCCTTCTTGCAGGTTACATCCATGCTGTGGCATCTTCTTTGCACTTAGTTTAATAAATTATACTTGTTTTAACGGAGTGCCATGCGTGGGCTCCATCTTTGTCACATTACCTGAGCCAGTTTGTGACAACGTACCAGCAGGTTTAGAGAAAGTGAATGCCAAATGTTGATGGTAGGTTAAGCTTGTTTAGATTTGCCAAGGTTCAAACTGCTGTATTTGTAACATCAATCAGCAGTGCTTTAACATGAAGTTGATAACCAAGCAATAGATTTTCAAAATGCTTCATTTGTCATTCTTTTTTTGCCATGTTACTGAGCAGAGATGAAGCAAATGTCCCGGCAAAACAAACAACCAACACAGAAGCTGATAGAGGACTGTGCATACTGGATGTTTCAAACCAAGTGGTGCTTCATCAGGCCAAAGATATGACATTATACCAGTTATACTGTTACTGACCAGTGTTTTATTGTTTACTCAAGAATGGAATCAAATGTAGTACTTTCTTGTTTTATCTCTTCATCCTGCTGATTTTATTTTTTTATATTCTTCTTACTATTTCTTAGATGTAAATATAAATAATAAAAATTATTATTATTTACAGTTAATTGTACCTGATGGTGAGTGTCAAGGTTCATTCTCAGAAACAGTAGTTTGACAAGTCGGGGTCTTCATCGGCAAAGTGCTAACAGCCTGTAGTAATATTCTATTAACACAGTATAATGCAATCCAATACATCAGCACCACAAACTAAAACATAACCCTGAGCAGGGTCTGCTGCAGAGACACTGGTTTGGACTGTTTAAATGTCCCTGACACTGTATGGAGCCCCTGTATGTATGAGTCTCAGTACCTTGTTTCTGACATGGGCTGGTGTACCAATAGGGAAGCCCAAGCGCAGCACCATGCAGGGCGTCTTGGAGATGAGACGGACCAAGTAGAAGGAGGTAGGAGGCTGGTCAGACGAACTGTGGAGACACAATTCATTTAAGCGTACTCTTCTTTTCTAGGAACTTAAATCTTCAATAACATGGATTACGCATTTAAATGAGCAAAATTCCCCTCACCTTCGACAGCGTTGCCCAACCTTTTTGGTTTCTGGCCCCTTTAAAAAAGTTATATACCTGCAACATCCTGGCCTTAACCTTACTGTGATATGGTGTGAGTTGTGAGCACTTCCACAAGAGACATTTTATTGTATTTAAAGGATTTTTTAAAAGCCTATGGCAATTAAAGTCTCTAGTATTAATAAAAAAGGATATATATAAAATAAATATACCACTTTGTGTAGCACAAACTTTTTCTTTCTTATCCATAAAATAGTTGCTTTACCCCCTCAGATTTATCCTGGGATTCCTTGGGGGGACAACAAATAGTTGTGTGGGAAACCTTTTATAGTGATGACCATGATCATTAATTAGCAACATAATCATAGTGTCAGTATATAAAAGAAACAAACATTCTTCTAGTTGTTGGTCTCGTGTGGCATTTCCACCTGCAAGTCAAAGACAGTTATCAGCGCTGTCTCACCTGTATATGAGTTTAACATACGAGTAGCCCTCCACCAGCACGAAGCTGCTCCAGTCCCTCAGCAGCGATGTGAGAGCGGAGTGGGAGATACGACACTGAATGGTGCTATAACGTCCGTTGTTCCCAGCTGTGTGCAGGTGTTTGGGGACAGGCCTGGAGGGAGAAAATTATTAATATCACAAAGCACTACAACCCAAGCACAAGAACATGAAAAATTGAGCCAAACAAATATGGCAGATTACAAGGCTAAACACTACGTAAAATATGGACCTACAGCCACAGCTGCCTTCTTTTCAAATCTTTTTCAGATATCCCTCTCACGTCTAGCTGCTATTAGTGAAACCATTACCTGTGGTCCGGGCTGGTCAAATCACATTGAAATAGCATATATTATATACATTTCTCACATGTCATGTTCAAGCACGATTGCAATGCGATGCATGTGCAGCCATCTCTGCCAGAAGTTGGTGTCCATGGAGAGGATGGGCTTCCAGTAGGAGGCAAACTGGGACTGAGAAGAGTCTTTGGATCCACTGTGCTGCAACGACAGGACCTGGAAAAAGAGATCATTCAGTTAAAGGAGGTACGCAAACAGAACCCAGGCAGAGAGGATAAATGGTTGTTGGATCCAACTTCATCACCGTTGACTGAGGAAGGTGGACAAGCAGAGTGGAATACGCAGTGACCATCGTTCATTTTATTACTAGCTTTTTGGTGTTTAAAGGATAAACCTTGTTATTCTTTCTGACTGTCAACAAATCCCATGACACCCCAAAGCTTTTAGCCTGGATTTAAAGGTATTCAAAGTTAGTGCATGTCTAATACCTTCTGTGGCTTCTCCACGTTTAGTTTGGTCACTCTGGAAACAGTTAGCTGATGACCTGAGAGGCACAGAGTGTTCACATGGTAAAAGAGAATCATTTTGGTCCTAAGCCATTGAGGGATGTATAAACAAGTAGCAGTACATAAAACTCTATTCTCTGATACACTGACAGCCAGTGTAGAGATCTGACAACTGATGTGATTTGATGTGTTCACTGTCTTGGATTTTGTTCAGCCTCTAGCAGCAGCACCGGCGGTACAAAGAATTACAGCAATTTAACCTGCTGGAAATGAAAGCATGGATAAGTTTCTCTTAGTCCTGGCTGGACATGAATCCTTGCTATGTTTTCAAGATGATAGACTTTGTAATTGTCAATAGTGAATTAGAAGTTTTATTTATCGCCATTTGCATTCAGCTTTACAGCATTACCCTTTTTACTTCCTTTCTTTCCTTTTTTCATCACAGAAGTTGGCAGAAGATTATGGTGGCCTGTAGATAGTTAACAATAAAACACGAGAGGAACAACTCAGTGTGGCAGAGAGGTACTCAAAGGATGTGTATTCTCCAAGTGCTTGCACAAGGAAGCACCACTGAATAAGGCTGCAATTCCTCCTGCTTTTGTTTCACCTATAAAAAGAATTTAGAAGGGGCTGGTTCAGTAAGAACATCCACACCGCCATTTCAATCTTAACAGGTTTCTGGTAAAACACAAAATTAGGTTTAAGGTTGTTAATTCAAAATCATTTGTTTGGTAGAGACCTAACAAATCTGCTGAAAGTGTTTGTGCAGCAAAAAGCCTAAAAACCTAGAAAACACTAAAGTTGGCAGGTGGATAACAAAAAACACCCCTATATTGATATTATTATTATATTCAAGGCAGTGCTATAACAATCAAGTTTACGTTTTAATAATTATCCTGAAAACAGCTTGGCAGAGAGACAAAATTCTTTCATAATTTTAATCTCTCAGCTCATCTGCACCTGGCTTCTGCTCTAAAAATGTCAAATTTCACATTGTGTTCTTAATTATCTCCTCAGAAAACACTGGGCCGTTCCAAATACTCAAGCCAGTCAATTTTTTATCTAAATAACAACAAATGTCATGTCATCAGGTCATAACTGCTGCTAAATGCTGTTAGCTAGTTATGGGAACCGGGCTCAGCAGCCCCCCCACCACGGCCGGCCCGGGACTGAACACAAGACTGACGGAGGCCAGTTTGACGACAAGGAGACCCATACCGAGGGGATTTGTTGCCACTCTGACCAGGACTCTGATTCTGGGGATGACGATGACATGGCAGGTTCAGGAGAGGCGTGAAATGGGAGATGTAGCGACGCCGTGTAGAACCAGAATATTTTATATTTATAATATCTGTGAATTAAGGTTGTTGCTTATTTTCACCACACCAGAGCCTGTGATTGTTGGAACTGTGACCGTTTGGGTGAGCTTTGGTTTTGGATGAAGTGTGTTTCATGATGAGTTAACAAGAATTCAGAAGGTGTACGGTACGTTGTTTTTTTCTGTTTGATAAGAAGAAAGAGGAATTTTTCCTTTCTTGGCATTTTTATTTTGTTTGTTTATTAGATTAAAAAAACTGGGAGCACTTGTGTAACGTAGTGAAATCGCTACTCGCACTAAGCTCCCAGCTCCCAGCTGAAGAGATGGGGGAGGCCTCAGCTGTACTATCAGACTGTCACCTCTGTGACAGTGGTATTACGACAGGGCGGGGCTAGCTGGTTAGCATGCTAACTTAAGCAGATATGTCTGCAACAGAGCTATTACTTCTTCACATTCTGTTCATCATGTTAGTTCATTTTTTTATGTTTTAAACTAACATTCTAGCCAAATCTTACACGCTGTACCTTTAAACCATTTTTGACTGGACTACACCTCACTGGTTTTTACTACAGCTATGAGAAACAAGCATCCAGACATTCAAAATCTGCCTTGAACCGATCACTGCTACACTATTTATTCATTCATCAATGTAGTTGATCCTCTTCAGACTTAGGGTTTTGCAGAGCCATGTATTCAGTGATAAAAGTCTGCTGAACCAGTTGATCCCTCTGTTGGCGACAAAGAATATAAGCAACCTCTGCAATTAATGTGTCAACGTCTTGAACCTTTTTACTGTTGCCCATCCTTCCTTCCTTGTAAACCGGTCATGCCCTCTGTTCAAATGGTCTAAAAATCAATTAATATATTTCTTAAGTCATAAACCAAACTAAAGCAAACGCATAGCACAGATTTAGTTAACGTTACACTGGAGTGGTGTTGGACCACAGTACCGGAGTAGTGGAGCCAGGAGGGATGTAGAACAGAGGAACTCCGTTTTTGGTGCTCTCAGGAATCATGTAGTTCTCAGGAATGGAATTAAATGACTGGAGGTGCACCAACATCTGATCAGTCTGGTTGATGCTGGAAGGACAAACAGCACATGTACGGTAGGTAAGTAACAGCAATCTCGATCAGATGTATCATCATTATTTTACACTCTAACTCATGGTAGAATCATTGTGCATTGTGTACCTCTGTAGTGTGTTCCAGAAGCGTCGGATGACGGAGGTACGGTACGGACTGGTGATGGGTTTCCTCTGGGTGCAGCTAATGTCATGCAGGATGTCATAGCTTCCTTCCATGGTCACCTCCACCCTGGTGGTTCTCTTGGTGGGGTCCAAAGGCCAGGAGGCGGCTGCCAGGTACTCGATATGCATGTTGTGTTTCCATAAAAGCACCAGCTTCACCTCCAGCTGAGTCCCACCTTAAGAAACCAGGGGTGTCATTCTCAGCCAGAATAAACCCTGCACCACCTTGTTGAGCCATTTCCTCTAGGACTTTTGAAAAGACAAAACGTTTACCTTTAGTGAGGCTGATCTCTCTGATTGTGTAGCCCTCTCTCAGTCGCACAGACACCACGCTGATTAAATGGGCATGGACTTCCTTCTCTGTGTGCTTCTTCCTCCTCATGACCAGGGCGGGGTTACCGCTGGCTGACACCAGGTGCTCATTGAACAGTTTGTGCTGGGAAACTATAACACAGTGAAGTAGTGAGTATGTACGCATATTTATTTTCATCATCATCAATACTAATAAACCTGCATTGTATCTTAGAAAACAATGTCAATGGAGTTCACAAGAAAAATAACAAAAATGCCATAAAACATAAATCTAATTTGACGATAACTTTGTCCTAAACGTATGTTTTAGAAATGCATTTAAATAACTATAAATTCCTCTATTCAGTTCATTAAACCTAGCTAGGTCATATTCACAGATTTTGAAAAACAAAACACAGAACTTGATGGTAATTAAGGGTATTATTTGAAAATGATACATATATATTTTGCTTTATAATAAATTGTATTCATTTGCGTTGTACTTTTTTCCTACTGCATTTTAGTGGGACACAGAACGCAACATTGTGTTGTGTTTGTTTACATTTCAAATTAGCTTTACAATGAAATAAGCTCATTAGTAAAACCTTTTCTGAAGAATACCCTTACAGCAACAAAAACCATTGTCATGTTTTTATAGCACATTGAACTAATTTTTAATCAAGGGGGCCTATCATCCCACAGGGCAAGTTTAGATATAGACACAGTACTACAAACAGACTTATAGTACACTGTCTCACCACAGAAGTACTCTGAGTTCATAGACTCCGGGGTCTTAAGGAAGGAGTAGGTTAAGAAGGCCTTGTGGTACACATTCATCTCCTGGTTGTTCACGTCCACTTCAGGACAGCTGGGCAGGTATGAACCAAATGTAGCTAATGAGATGAACTTCATCAGCTCTACATTGGGGATGTAGCCAAAGCTGCAGTCGTAGGAGTACGCACCACCAACCTGGAAGGGGATACACATATTTGAAAGAAGAGCAGTCAGTATGATGTTGCCGTCATTCTACGGAGTCATGGTTGTCACAGAATCCCTCTCACATTACAGTTCTTTGAGTGGAGTTCTTGAGTAGATTGAGATACACATAAGCATCCTCGTTGCGATCCTATCCTGATTTTAATCATATTCAGGATATAACGTTTTCATGGAACATGGAGCATAGAATAACCTGGTTATTCATACCCCATGACTCCTTTCTGTATCGTCCAAGTTCAAAAAGCAGTTGAGGACAAACTCACTGCCCTGATTAAAACTGGAATATTGGTGTTGCAAGTACTCCTTTAAAATAATTCCAAAGATGACTGACAGTAAAAAGATAAAGACCAAATACAAATACAGAATGCACATATACACATGAAAAAGTGTTTGCCCCCTTCCTGATTGCATGTTTGTCACACCCAAATGTTTCAGATCAAACAAATTGAAATATTAGACAATGATAACACAAAAAGCAGTTTTTAAATGAAAGTTTTTATTATTAAAGGAAAAAATCCAAACCTTCATGGCCCCTGCATGGAAAAAGTGATTGTCCCCTATACTTAATAACTGGTTGGGCCACCTTAGCAGCAACAACTGCAATCAAGGGTTTGCGATAACTGGCAATGAGTCTTTTACAGCGCTGTGGAGGAATTTTGGCCCACTTATCTTGGCAGAATTGTTGTAATTCAGCCACATGGAGGGTTTTCAAGCCTGAACCGCTTTTTTAAGACCATTCAGGTCAGGACTTTGACTAGGCTGCTCTAAAGTCTTCATTTTGTTTTTCTTAAGCCATTCAGAGGTGGACTTGCTGGTGTGTTTTGGAGCAATGTCCTGCTGCAGAACCCAAGTGCGCTTCAGCTTGATGGCATGAACAGATGCCTGGACATTCTCTTTCAGGATTTTTGGTGGACAGCAGTATTCATGTTTCCATTTACCACAGCAAATCTTCCAAGTCCTGAAGCAGCAAAACAGCCCCAGACCATCACACTAAACTTCCTTTTCTGAAATGCTGTGTTACTTTTATGCCGGATGTAATGGAACACACACCTCCCAAAAAGGTCAGCTTTTGTCTTGTCAGTCCACAGAGTATTTTCCCAAAAGTCTTAGGGATCATCAAGATGTTTTCTGGCAAAACTGAGACGAGCATTTATGTTTTTATCTTGGAACTCTGCCTCTTTCTTATGGCGGAGTCATGAACACTGACCTTAACTGAGGCACGTGAAGCCTGCAGTTCTTCAGATGTTGTTGTGGGGGGTTTTGTGACCTCTTGGATGAGTCGTGACTGCGCTCTTGGGGTAATTTTACTTGGCCGGCCACTCCTGGGAAGGTTCACCACTGTTCCATGTTTTCGCCATTTGTGGATAATGGCCCTAACTGTGGTTCGCTGGAGTCCCAAAGCTTTAGAAATGGCTTTATAATCTTTTCCAGACTGATAAATCTCAATTACTCTGTTTCTCATTTGTTCCTGAATTTCTTTGGATCGCACACGTGTTTCAGCATGATGTCTAGCTTTTGAGGATCTTTTGGTGTACTTCACTTTGTCAGGCAGGTCCTATTTAAGGGATCTCTTGATTGAGAACAGGGGCAGAAAACAAAGATTCCAAAGATGGGATAAACCACAGTTGATTTATTTTTTAAAAGGTGGGGCACAATCACTTTTTCACAGAGGGCCATGTAGGTTTGGTTTTTTTCCTTTAATAATAAAAACCTTCAGTTAAAAACTGCATTTTGTGTTTACTTGTGTTATCTTTTTCTAATATATCAATTTGTTTGATGATCTGAAAAGGAAGTATATGAGTAACAAACAGGTCAGAGGTGCAAACATCAAGATGTTATGGTCTTTACCTGCACAAAGGAGCAGGCAATGGTTCCACTCCTGAGCTGGTTCAGCAGTGTTTCACACACAGCTACATCCGGAACACTAGTCACTCCATCTGTGATTATAATGATACCTGGAACACACACAAGTTAAATGACTAAAACCTCTTAAAGTCACATGATGTACTTCTGACTTTACACGGTGAATAGTCAGGATGGTGGAGGTATGAAAGTCAGCAGGGTTTCAACTTCTCTCTCACTTCTCTATTTCCATCCTTCACACAACTACTTCTGTCACTCTTCCTGTGCACAACCGAGTGCAACAGCATGAATGTCTTCAAAGAGAGACTGCTTGAAAGTGTGCACTGTTATCTCCATTTGCGTGATTCATCACATCAAGACTACAAAGACATGCAAAAGACAGAAGAAGGCTATGATGGCCATTCAGAACAGGTATAATCACATTGGAAGTGGTTGGATGATATTTTATTTTATTTAAGCATACTGAGGCCTTTACATTTCAGGCCTACCACAGTCAACAATGTCTACATAGGCAAAACAGACTGACATCTTCATGCACACATATCAAAGATGCCAACCTGTTAAAGCAAACCCATGACCATATTTTTGCAATATCATAGTAAGTAGATTGATCCAAAACCTTTAAAGTTGGCTAAAGTCGTAAAAATCATTCAGATTTCTTGGCAATGTTTAACTCATTAATACAATATCAACTGTACAAACATACTCTTGCAATACTTAGCTTACGATATGGTTAATCATGATATTTAGCTTGCTAAATTATCCAGACACAGTTTAAGAGACACTGTGTTGACACTGCTTGAGGATTATTTACATCATAGCAAGAGGTTACTATCCAAAAACATATGTCTGACATAGCTACAATATTGTGTGGGGTGCCTCAAGGTTCTATTCTTGCTATATTTAATTTTCATTCATTGTCTTCCAAATGGGTGGTGCAGTGGTTAGCACTGTCGCCTCACAGCAAGAAGGTCGTGGGTTCAAACGTGAGTGGGAGTGTTTGTCTATGTGTAGCCCTGCGATGGACTGGCGACCTGTCCAGGGTGTACCCCGCCTTTCAGCCGATGTCAGCTGGGATTGGCTCCAGCCCCCCGCAACCCTGTACGCAGGATAAGCGTTTGATGATGGATGGATGTCTTCCAAATGCCTCTGACACAATATTGCCGATAGTTTTTGTTTAAAATGAATAACTAAGCTGTCACATAATGTCGAGCACTCTAATGTCATTCAAAGGTTGCAGAGAAGCTGATTATTCTTGGTTACAAGTATTGATCAGCAGGCCATTGAGTAAGTTTACTTTACATACTTGCTAGAAATAACTAGACGGACTTGTTGAATAATTCCTTTGTTTACTTTGTCGGTTTGCTGTATTTTATCTAAAACTTTATTATGATATCCTAGAAGTGCTGTATTACTCAGTGTATGTAGTGTAGCCATTGGGAGAATGACTGTGGTCTCACTGGGTAAAGGTGTTGACCACTAATGTTACTCTTTCGATGTAAAGTTTGACTACTAAGTGTTTAAGTTGACTAGTATTTTATTCTTAAGACTTAAAGGATTATATTCTGTGTGTTATTCATGAACCTGTGCCCTTTCAATGTGTCTACATGAGCAGAGCAGCCCTATGCAAAACCTAGCCTACCGTAGCATACACAATAGCAGTAGGTACCTGCTACAAGTCACGTACGCCAAGACACATTGTGAATGATGTCAACTGGTACTGCAAGAAACTAAGCTTTGTATGGGACACGGCATACTCATGTTTGACATACTCTTGTTTGATATGTTGAATCATGTTTTACATTTATCAGTTATGTTATTCCTTATTAATTCTAAATAAAAAAAAATACGCTGAGACTGAAGTTGAAACATATTGGTGAATTTCTAGTCCAGTAATGTTAAAATATAAAGAAGGATAAATTATAACAACAATTATGATGAATAACAGCAAAAACGTAATTTTGACAGGAAGGGTTAAAGAAAGGGTTAAATTGGTAAAACAGTACATGAAAACATCCACTAGCTGGCAGCAGAGGATAAGAAATTCTGCCGGGATGTTACTCTGGTTTACCTTTATTGGAATAAACTCTTTTGCACTGACTCTTGACCGTCTCCAGTGAAGTTTTTGACCACGCAGTTTTTGACTGAAGAAGAAAGCCAATACAGTAATATTTACTGAGTTTAATAAGTTGGTTAGGGTAGGGACCAGGCCTTCCACTGGCCCGGCCTGTCCTTATTTCCGACCCAACCGCCTATATTGGGAATGGAATCACTTTGGGTGGACACTGTTTGATCCAGTAGGAGGCGGTAATGCCAACCACTATAAAACACCAACGAAGAATAAGAATTAAATATAGCCGCGAGCAGCAATGATCGGGATCTAAGGCAGTCGCGAAAAACGCAACATATGAAATTCAGAAGAGAAGAACAGACGCAGACGACTTCAGAGATTAAAGTGATGAAAGAATTTGGATAATTGTGGAAACGCATTCTGGATTTTTAAAGCATCCCCGTGAGATCAGAGAGCGTCATTATATGTACCTGACTACTGGGTGAAAAGTTCGACCCACCTGCGATATTTTGGGTTTCGAAGATTTAAAGTTTAAGCTGCACAAACTCTTTTTAGCAGAGAAAAATGAGAAGAAACTGCGAGGGATCCAAATAAAAAAAGAGACCTTAGACTCACTATGATCTGAACACCCCCACTGTCAGCACGTCTGACTGGCTCACCTGGGGATTTGAACCCTGCACCTGCAGAGTAGGTGACTTACTGACTGAGCTACAGGTGAGAGGTTTCCACACACCTTTTCACAACTTGAGGTAGTGATGTCACATGTGCCAGACCCCGATAGTTTTGTCAGTTTAACTTAAAACGCTTACATCTGTCAATATGTTGGTGAGAAAATTCTGAAAAAAATCATGCATCATTCTGCCAGTTATGGGTGTGTTGTGAATTATTTTGGTGGCATTTGATCCAAAATTGAGTTAAAAACAAAAAGTTGTGCATACTGTACAAGTTACATCTGAAAACACTTGATATCGGCCATCTGGAAAACGACTGTTGAGTTTGGTAGAGTTTGAATAAAGACTTGTGGAGATATAGATGTTAATTGAATTAGTATATTCTGATAAATATAGTGACTGACTTCTGAACTGACCATAGGTTGCAGTGAGGCGAATTTCACATTTCAGTGGACGTGCTGAAAAAATTTCAGCTCTCTAGGACGTATGGATGATTATCTTAGACTTTTCTGAAGTTAGGAATGAGAAATATCTAGAAATGTACATTTCTTGTAATAAGCCACGCCCACTTTGTGCAATCATTACCAATTATTATACATCAACTGAGTAGTGACCCGAGATCGCACAAACCGAGTTTCGTACGAATCCATCCAGCGAATTACGAGGTATAAACCTTTTGCAAGTGTAGCGCCACCTAGTGGAAGAATATCCGAGGACTGCTCAGCAAAGCTCAGGACGAGCGTCTGTACAGATGTGTCGAGTCTGGTTACATTAGCTTAAGCCAATTGTGATTTACGGGCATTTATGTAAAGTTGTACAAAAATACACAAAAGTAAAAATTTAAGAAAAAAAAACCCCATTCACGCATCAAAATTCTTTTGATAACTTTTGATCAGCGACGTCCGTAGATGATCCTGCTAAAGTTTCAGGTCGATTGGCGAAACCGTCTGGGACGAGTTCGCAAAAATAGGTTTCAGAGAAAAGTAACAAAAAGTTACAGAATTTGACATTTTTAGAGCAGAAGACAAATGGAGCAAAGATGCAGATAAATCCAGAGATTAAAATGATTAAAGAAGTTTGACTCTAAACAAAGTCATTTGAGATAATTGCAAAAACGCAATGTTGATTGTTATAGCACCACCATGAGGTCTATGAGGGCCATTTTTTTTGCCTGAGTAGTGGGTGGAATTTTGGTGAGTTTTCATCCAACAGTTATTGTTGCCCACTTTTAGCGTACAAAAAGAAGAAAAAAGAAGAATCAGAACAAAACCAATAGGGGAGCTGTTACATGGCGGGCCAGAACAAACCGTGTGAACTCATGTGTTCGCTTAGCTCAGTTGGTGCTGTGCGGGACTCCCGACTGGTAGGTTGTGAGATCGATTCCATCTTATTGTGGATATTTGTTTTCTCCTTTGTTAAACAAATTGAATAAAAGGACACTTTTGCACATGCTCACATAAACCATGTGCTGTAGTGTGCGCGCGTTCCGCATTCATAAACCTATGGACACTTATACTCATTTCCCTGAGAAAATTCAGGGGAATCCAATCACACGTTTACTGACGGCTTTTTCAGAGGTGTCAAGCAGGCCAGAGACTCTTTTAAATTTCCTTCAGAACTCTTCAAAGTAAAAGCTCTTAATAAACCCAACATGAAGCATTGCTGCAAAAGATGCGCTTTTATCTTAGAGGCACAATCACTTAAGAGGAAGTGGTTATGTGAGTAACTGTTGCTGTCATGACTGAGATCTATTTCAGCACCAGCCCTTATCAATTTATTTATTTTAGATTTTTCTGCTATCAAAGCAATCTGAGAATTAAAACTAATACGATTTCCATCCACACCAGCGTTTTAGCTGTGTTTTGGAGTTGATCTCCGTCTACATTAACAACGCACATCTATTGGCCGTTCAGGCACGCTGGGCATGCGCGTGCCAATGTAAACATGAAGCAGATGGTCTCTTTCTAGTTACAGAAGATTTGGTGAAAGAATAAATTGATACAGACGAAGAATTAGACCAGTTTTTTTTTGTGCGCGCACCAATAACGAGCTGAGACTGTTACTGAATGTGCAGAAAACACACTGGGAGTCGTCGCAAAGCAAACGGCGACATGCACAGTACAAGTGCAGGCAGATAAGTCTTATTTGCACGGTACAGAATATTTTAATATAAATACCATGTCAAAAACCAGTCAGTGGCATCACGTTTCTGCTTTGCATGACCTATAACACCCAATCAGAGAGTCGAGCGTGAGCGGCTGCGTCATCATTTCTAAAGTCTTCCGTTTTGGTCCGTCTTCACTAAAACGCCCTCCTGAGATCTGAAACGCAACGGGGTCGGCAGCGTTTCTAAACTTCTCCGTTTTAGGTTTTCGTTTTTGCCGTTATAGTCTGGACGGGAGGTGCAAACATAGTAAAAGATCTCGAAAGAATTTGAAAACGCAGTAGTGTGGATGGGGCCAAGGTAGTTAAACCGCTACAATGACAAACTTTTGTGGAAGCATAACGTTGACTTTGGTAGTGAAAAACAGTGAGATCTCTTTGTATTATTCAGGCATGTGATTGGCAAAGGGCAAAAAAGCAGGAAAATATACTGACTCTATTATAACATGGATGGTAAAGCAGGACCCATGACAATAACTTATTTGGTGGATGTGTTGCAGTTGGAATCAAAGACAAGTGTCTAATCCACTGCACCATCGCAACCTCTCAACAATAATTATTTTGTATTCATTTTTTACCAAACTTCAACAGCTAAATGTGCAACATGAAATAATTGAGTTTATAACTAAATAATATAAGTACTAACTTTCAAATTAGTTCAGTAGAAGTTAATAGATTATTTTTAATGAATAAGAGACAGCAGCAAAGGTTGTCGCCTGTTTAAGACCTGGTGGCTATTATAATATAACTGTTATACAAAGTTATATTATTCAGGAAACTGATCAAACACGAACGGACGAGAACGACCGCGACAGTTTCACGGGATCACGCCAGTTACACAGAAGCCATTGCCATGGTTACCTCGCAGAGCAAATCCTGTCACAAGAATTCACAAGAAATTAATTTATAACGTGCCAAAACCTTTAACATAAGGATGACTTAAAAAGCAACCATTCATACAGAAAACTGCAGCCTATAGCCTACATGACTGATCAATCAACGACAACGTCAAAGTAAACAGACATAGCCTATACCGTTAACAAACAATAATCAAAACATACCCAATTTATTCGATCCTTATTGTCAACTCAGTGTTGGGCAAGTTACTCAGAAATAATAAGCATATTATTACCCACTATTTCCTCCTACTAGACAGTCTACATCTTCATTCATGTTCTGTGATTTCATTACATTTTCATTTAGATACAGATCATCTACTTTGTGGAATCCAAACTTACATATTTTCAATCGTTTATTTTGTTGACTTTTTTTCCCAATTAAACATTGCACTTTCACTAAACACTAAAAAGTGTTGACTGCTGGACATCTGGAATTAAAAAAAAAAGGTGTATATATTTTTTTTCCTCTCTTCTATTTCCTCTTTATTTTGTACTGGTAACCCTATCCTTTCTTCATTTCAATGTAATTCTGTTTATCTTGCCTCTTTAGGAGAGGCTTTTGTAAAGGCTTTTAGCTTTCTACCTCGTGTTTTTTCACATATGTGACTGACTTTTTTTTTTAATTAAGTGTGTTTTAACTTTTGTGCACAAAAAATTTTATGTGCAAACAAAGTAAAAATGCAGTAGCTGCCCAGTCAAAGGCCTGGTTGTTAGAGATTGGAGAGGGTATTTTGTCATTTGCCTACCTGCACTGGAGTTTGGGGGCAGCAGCTGAAGGGCCAGGATGCCCTGGCGTACCATGCTGACCAGACCCATATCAGCTGACACCATGGAAATAGCCTGCTTCCTGTGAGGCTGGTCATCCAGGAGGCCTGAATTTTGGACTGGCTCCACAGCCTAAATGGACAGTAAAAATAAAGGTATTGGTTTACATCTTGACACTGAAGACTAACAAATACACAAGATTTGATGTCACAGCTTGGTGAGGTAACAAGTAAAACAAAACACATCAAAGGATAAGACAGGCATTGTGCTAAATGTTCTTAATATCAACCAATCTCATTACAAAAGCCAAACCAAAGTTGTGTTAGTCCATCTAAAAAGACTTTCTGCCTTCCCTACTCTCTCAGTGGCTCTCAGTCCCAAGCCTGCTTGTTCCTGCTGAAGACTGCAATCTTTAAAAACAGCTCACAGGGAAGGATTAATATGAAGTGTTTACATTACTTCTGATAAAAAATGGTACATTTTTGTTTTAAAGAGTTTTGTTGTTTTTTATTTTACAATACTATATAAATACTGTTCATGAGCATTTGCCTGTTCGTGCTGCTGATGGAGGACTTGTGCGATGTTGCTCTCCACTGCTCTCAGCTGCTGATAGATGTGATGCAGGAACTCAGTGAGGTCTGTTTTATCAAGCTGACAGCCCTGTACCAAAACCTGCAGGGGAAATAAAGGCTGTCAGAGGACTGCAGCTGTATGAATCACATGGGAACAGGTCAGGGCTCTACGCTTACACAAGTACAGACAAACATTTATAGTTGGGTTTTTTTGCATTAATGCAGCTCTTTGTTAACATTAAACATACACACATACGCTCCTTTAACTAAAGAATTCTGAAATACAAGATGTCCTTGGGACGTAACAAATGGCAACATTCCTTTTTTATGCTTCATTAATGCATTCTTTTCAAACAGCATAGAGGCGGCTTACAATTCGTTTTGGGGTTTGAAAGTATTTTGTCCAATCTGAATCCAGTATTCAAACCACTAAATAAGATTTCAGCGATATTATTATTTCTATATATATGCATGCCAAATGCTCACTGTAAAGCTCTGCAAATACAACATATGTCAAGTCAGTATTAGGAAACAATCAGCATTTTCCACTTAAATGTAAAGCAAAATGAGTACTATCCTAAAAAAAGGTGACACCTCGAAGTTCAGTTCAAGTCCAGTTATAATGCTTATATTCCAATAAGGAAGCATGTTGTACAGCGGGCATCTAAGAACTAGATTACAGTAACTGTAATACTCTTTAAAGAGCAACTTAACAGCCCTTGAAAATCTTGATTTTGCGCCGCTTTCTAACTTCACATTAAAGTCACTCTGGAATCCATTTTTGATCTTTCATTCCAAGGCCCCTGAGCCTTTCAGGACATTAGGATACTTTGTAAAACACCAGTAAACAAGGTAGGCTACTGTTATGACCTGATGGGAAGTGAGACCAATAATTGAAGAATATGCCAAGATGGTGATGAAGACTTTAGGCTTGAAAAGGTCATCAGTTCCAGGGACTTTAAATGGCTGAGCCAGACCGGCCAGACACCTCGACAAGGCATGAAAGACCTCGTCGAAGATCATCTCTCCTGTGCTGTCATCCTGCAGAACAGAAAACAAAACATACTGAGAATTCATTTCTCTTCTCAGTCAAAGATAGGCTGACACACAATATTTAACCCTGAACAATACTGCATTATCAAGGAAGATCTCATATAAGAAAGTAAAAAAGCCAGACAAACCCAGAGAAATCTGTCATTTTATTCAGTGTAACGTTTCATTTGGTTGCCTGTCAATGGCATCGTAAGCCGTTTGCACATGTGTCATTGCTGTGGTTGTCTGCTAGAAGGTGTCATACACTAGACTAGACTATTTATCCGGTATTAAGCCACCTTTTTAAGATACCCTTCATATGTTGGTTGTTTTTAACTATGTATTTTAACCAGATGAAAAAAAGCTCAGAAAATGTCAGCGGTGTGTCAACTGTGTCCGCTGAACAGTGTCAAGGAAACACTGACTTTTAATGTGAAACTGCTTTATTCAGCTTTTTATATGAATGAATGAATGAATGAATGAATGAATGAATGAATATCCAGCAAAATGCCTTACATACACATGTGAGAGTCTTGTCATTCAATGCTTGTGCACAGTCAGTATCAAACAGATGGCAGAATTCACTCTTTAACAACATTAACTGATGAAACTGATGTTTATTTTTGGTTTAACAGTTAAGCATGAGCAAGTACAGTTGTCCACATCAATTATATTTATTTATCTTGTCAGTTTAAAAAAATCCTATATATGTACCCAATGTCATCTGGCTGCTTCAGATTGGCGGGTGGTTATTTCAGGAAAGCGACCTGTCCGGAGTCACTCTAACGTACAGTGACAGCAGCTCTTTGTCTTAAATGCCCCTCCTGTGCAGCTTCGCACATCGTGAACCAGCACATAAACAGTCACGCTGCAAAGGCAACTCTTGGCCTTCTGAGCATTGGTGTCCCCTGAGATGTTCACTGTGTATGCACCAGTAGTGAATCTCAATCTACACGCGGAAATACCAGCAGGTCTTGGTTACGTGGTCGAGCAGCAAACTATGATTCGTGTACCTTCAAAAACGGGAGCAGCATTCACACCCAAGACACAGAATCAACTGGGAGAACTAGTTTTAAAGGTTTTTATTATGGTTATTCTGTAAATATTAGAAAAACAAAAATAAATATTTTCCACCATAAGCAATTTACAAAGCAAATAACTGAAACTGTGATTAATAGAAGTCTTTACATCGGCTTCCCGTCAGCTTCGGAATTCATTTTAAGGTTCTTGTGTTCACATATAGAGCTGTGCGTGGTCCGGCGCCTGGGTACATCTCTGACCTGCTCCATCCTTATATCAGCAGTAGGTGTTCTGACCAGGCGTACTGGTCGGTCCTCGCGCTCGACAGATAACAAAAGGTGACCGTATCTTTGAAGTGGAACTGTGGAACTTCCTATAGGACTCTTATTCAGACTGGCCTTTGTCTCACCTCATGATGTCTAATTTGATCAAACTTGTTTTTAAAGCCTGTAGTTGCTTATATTTTATTGTTGTTACGTTTACGGTCTATTTTTAATAAACTTACTCTTGTGAAGCACTTAGAGGTGCTATACTAAATAAACGTTACTTACTGAATGTGTTTCTTCATTTCAATCTCATTTGTGTCAACTGCATTCATTCAGGAAACAAGTTACCAACCATTAAGCTAATGACACACGGAGCAACTTTTAGAGCGATGGTGCTGGACAATGTTGCCATCAATGGTAATGAGTAAAGATTACTACCCTTCTCCCACCAACCCCGCCCCCGCTATCTGTTCAAAATATAGTCTGACTTGCCACCGGCAAGATTGCACAGCAACATTGCTCAAGAAGTTGCTCCCGTGTATCATCAGCTTCAGACTTTAAGTCTTACCACAATCCCTGTGGAAGGGCTGAGGTCCAGCTCAATGATGAAGCGGTATCTCCGGGCAAGGAAGGCGGCCCGAGTGGACGGCATCAGCATACAAGTGTATGTGGTGGGGGAGAAATCTGGCTGCCATCCTTTAGGTAAGCAGCTCAGCAAGTGTAACTCATTCCCTGAGTTCTGCTGCAAATGAAGTGAGAGCCAAACATGACATCAGTGACCTATCACTCAAAACTTTGTGGTTCAGGAATTTCTCAATTTATTAAACAAACATGTTCATTTATTATATACATATACACTCACCGGCCACTTCATAAGCTGCACCTGTTCAATTGCTTGTTAACACAAATAGCTAATCAGCCAATCACATGGCAGCAACTCAATGCATTTAGGCATGTAGACGTGGTCAAGACAATTTGCTGTAGTTAAAAGTGAGCATCAGAATGGGGAAGAAAGGGGATTTAAGTGACTTTGAACATGGTTGCTGGTGTCAGATGGGCTGGTCTGAGTATTTTCACACACAGCCATCTCTAAGGTTTACAGAGAATGGTCCGAAAGAGAAAATATCACAAATAACATTTTCAAGTGGCCTTTTATTGTGGCCCGCCTAAGGCACCAATTCCAAAAAATGTCGTAGTCACTATACAAACACATGGAAAAATAGGGCCCAGGTTGAAAAATACCCTCTCTTGCAGAGGTTCATTCACTGCTTATCTGGTATACAGTGGTCCTCAGTCTCAATCATTAATTGTTCATTGCTGTTTTCATAGCATTAATTGTTGCATTTATTAAATCATGTGTGTGTTAGCTGTGTAATAAGTAGTTTCATATATAAAGAAGTTGATTTTGTTGTTTGTTTTTAATGAAGTCAGTCTTTACGAGTCAAGGGCTCAATTCATTAATTGGAAATGTTCTCTTCCCTTTTCTAAGGATGGTACCCCAGGGTGAATTTAATGCATGTTAAATTCTATTATTTCTGATGGCCGAACTTGAGTGCAATCACTCTACTTCATTTTTTTTTTTAACCAATTAACGTGTTTACAGTGCATGTTTTTGATGCCCCTTAAGGCATTTACGCTACAACCTTAATGTTATCTCTCATTGCATGTAATATATGCATTATATGCAATGAGAGAATTTGAGGATTACACACAAAAAGAACTATATTCTAATGTATATACTTTAGTGTTTCAGTTGTAGCCAAATAGCCACTTGTCGATCCTGTGGCGCTGGGTCACCATGAGGACAGGAAAAGGACATGACAGGCATGATCAACTCACCAGCTCAGGCTTTGAGGCTGGCCAGATGACTTGGTTAAGTTTCCCCAGGAACCAGGCCAGACGCACATTCCTAGAGATCCGATACTCCTCCTTCATCAGCAGATAGATCTGATCAGCCTCCTCCACCTTATGAGGAGAAACATGCAGTACATGAAAGTGCAATGTTCAGAGTTTTGAGCACTACAATACTAACTTACTTTGCTTACTTGTGTGAGTTGCCAAGTTTGTTGATAACGCTACTATATGATATACTTGCATACAAGTTTTTAGCACAAAATTCCATTTAAAAATCAGGCAGTTTAAAATCTATCAAATTCCATCGCTTGCAAAATGTATCAGCAGCACAATATGATTTAAGAATAGTAACTCAGTATGGCTAAGTTACCCACAATCCATCTTCTTCAATCACATGTAAATTATCTTCCTGCTGGCTATAAGTGTACCACTGGATGTTAATATTTTATAAATTGCAACGCATCTTTACTTGTTACTTGTACGCCATGTTCACCAAAAGAAAGAATTAATTTACAAAACGTCAAATAGAATGGAATAACTAAAATGCATGTATACCGTTGATCGAGGCAATACTAAATTTCTTTCTAACTTCAGCTAATTTGGTGCTGGGTGAAAACTGCATTTACCAAGGCACTGCACGGTCGTTCATGTGCATTCATTTAAGCACTAACTTATGCCGACACGCCAGAGACTAACTTTAATATAACGTTAGCTACAGACATAACGTGGCTCGTGACAACTTGCAACCAGGCTGTTATTGCTAACTTAGCTGCTGAGCTAACGCGCGGCTAACACACGTCCATTCGTCCAGAGGAGTCTACATCCACAGCTCTATTTGGTGCCGACTGTTTTTATGTATCACTTTACACTGTACTTTATAGGGCTCTGGCTGTAGGACAAACAACCAAATGGGAAATGTGCATTTCTTCCGAACCACTCCATGCCCTGCGCTTCTTCCTGCAGAGTAAAGCTGTGTTACCTCATTGTCCTGTCTCTCTGCCATGCCGTGTGTAGCATAGGGACTGCAGGGGTGTTAGAGCCTCGGCTGACGAATATTCACTTTGGTATGTGCAAAGTAATATGTCTGGATACTTGTTTATCATCTGCAGTGTCTGTTGATCAGATGTTCGTAGTGCAGTGTCAGCTCGCCCAGGGTGTTAACGCACACATTTTCCGGTCAAATCTTACAAAATAAAAGATGTTAGGCTAACATGGAAACGTGCATATTCTTCGGGTAATGCAATCCAAAATGTAATTTCTATAGCATACATGTGGTAAATATAAGAAATTACATCAGCCGTTTCATAACAATCAACTACCAATAAATATTATATCTTATTATATATTTTATTTTTCATATGTTTTAAAATGGTTTGATAAGATGATAAGAAGACATTTAAACATGTCACAGTAGAATAAGAACAGGTGTCATTGACAAAATGAATTGCATTTAGCGGCTTTAGTTTCAGGGTCCTGGTACTGTCACACTGTCGAGGATTACTGGGTTTACTGTTATCAATAACTAGGGTTGTGCGATATGACCAAAAATGCGTTAATCACGTTAAAAAAATCAGATAATATCAATAATTATTATGATAAATGTCAAATCATTATTTCTGTCAAGTTAAAAGGCTGTTTTTTGCTTCTGAGTGAAAGAAACCACATGGTTTTAAACTTTTCTTTATGATCAGAACAAACACTTGATGCCAAACAGTGGATCACTTAACCAATTTGAGGTAGAACATTCAAAACAATTATGATTTTCCTCAACAAAATAAATTAAGTGTTAATTCAGTCATGATTCAAATGAATTAAATCAAACATTTATTGAACATTTGTCATACTGTAGTAATCTTTACTCATTACCATTGATGGCAACGTTGCCCTGCACGATTGCTCTAAAAGTTGCTCTGTGTATCATCAGCTTCAGACCACAAGTTTTGGTCCTTGATCCAATTTATTAAAGCTTTTATTTTGAAATTACATTCCTTAAACTTCCATGGATCTTGTTTTTAACCGGCACGTGATCCGGAAATGTCCTCGCGTCTGCAGAAACTGCAGGTCAGCTGACTAGACAACTATAACTAGTGAAATACCAAGTTAGTAGTGAAGACTGTTAGAGAACTGGTTTAACATCAGACATTAGTCTACGTCGTGAAGTAAGACATTAAATAATATGCAATGACATTCACATTTATGTATTTGGGTTTTATTACTTTTGTGCCAATCTGACAGGCTATTTCCATCCAGTGCTACTGCTAGTGGTTAAGGGATAGCCCAGAGTTCAGCCTCCCAGGTAGCTCAGAGTCAGAGCCTATGTCTGAATATTTACTTGTAGAAGGTCCATAGTTCTGTCATCTATGCTCTCTGTTCCTCTTTGTGAATTAATGGTAAAATAGATAGATAGATAGATAGATAGATGGCTCCAGCCCCTCGCGACCCTGTACACAGGATAAGCGGCTGACGACGGATGGATTTCTTGTCCCCGTCAAGGGGAGATATTTATTATCTTTATCTATTGTCAATTTATATTCTATACATATATAAAGAAAAGGAAGACATTTAAACATGAGTTTCTAGAAGTTTATACCTTGTAAAATACTTTCTGGTCAAGTTGGGTTAGGATAGGAAAGATACTGACATTATGTGCTCCTACTTTGATCTGTATGAAGAAACTATAGTCTATTTATTCTGGCATTGTATTTACACCAAGAAACTGTGGAAAGATGTGAATTAATTTGTAACTGATAGCCTAGTATTTACTGTGATTTTGTACATTTTAAACCTAACTGTATAAAAATGTCATTTTTGGTTTTACAAATGGTGAATGTTTATTATAATTATATCCACAAATTCACTAATACCAAGCCAAATTCACATAAGTAAGAAATTAAATTATATAACGTTATTGGAAAAATAACCTCGTTCCAAAAAAAGAAAGCTATTAAAACGGTGAAATTATGCATTTTACACAATAAATTTGTATGGGGGTTTTGGGAGTTTCAGTGGACCCAAAGATCGCTATGGACCCGAGTACAGAGAGTAGATTAAGTGTACTTCTCTGTTTATTATCTTTTCAAAAATAATTGTAACTCAATTATTTGCTCAACCCCTCAGCCTGTTTTTATTTTCCATTTAACTCTTTTAACCCTGATTGTACACTGCACTGTAACTTTTATTATATTTTAATGTGAATTTTTTCAATATCCCTATCTTGCTTATAAACTTTTTTATATTTCCCTGTTGCTTTTATGTTTTATGTAAAGCACTTTGAATTACCTTGTTGTTGAAATGTGCTATACAAATAAACTTGCCTTAGAGCATGGAAGTTGTATCTGAAGTGCTGCCTGGCAGGTGATTTTCAGGGCAAAATAGTCCCACAACCAACAGCAATATAGGTGTCGCTTGAGTATCGCGTCATGCTAAATGCGACGAAGAGTTGTCTTTTCCACGCTGTTGACAGAAGTCGCAGCCTGTGTGCCTTTTAACTCTCTTTTCATATTAAATCATGGAGAAAAAAGGCTCAAACCCCTTAAGGAAGAAACCTAAACCCGCGAGGATGAAAGACGGCGCCGACCCCGTCAAAAACTTCGAGAAATGGAAGAAAAAATACAATAAAACGAAAGCACGAGTGAAGCGCGAGCGAGCGCATACGAAGAAGCCCGAGTGGCAGGTCGAACGGGAGTACATCGACAGGCTTGTTAGCAGATACGGCGACATAAACGCCAAGGAGGCTATCAAGTTTTCAGACTTCCCCATTTCAAAGAAAACCTTGTTAGGTTTGCAGGAGGCCCAGTACAGACAGCCCACAGAGATCCAGAGGCAGACTATCGGATTCGCTTTGCGAGGTAAAGATGTCCTCGGCGCGGCTAAGACTGGGTCTGGGAAGACTTTAGCCTTCCTCATACCGGTGCTGGAGTGTCTGTACCGCCAGCAGTGGAGCTCCATGGACGGCCTCGGTGCTCTCATCATATCCCCCACCAGAGAGCTCGCCTACCAGACCTTCGAAGTCCTCCGCAAGGTGGGTAAGAACCACGAGTTCTCCGCAGGGCTCATCATCGGCGGGAAAGACCTCAAGAGTGAGTCAGAGAGGATCCACCGCACCAACATTGTCATCTGCACCCCGGGCCGGCTGCTCCAGCATATGGACGAGACGGCCGCCTTCCACGCCTCCGACCTCCACATGCTGGTCCTAGACGAGGCAGACCGCATCCTGGACATGGGCTTTGCGGATACTCTCAACGCCATCGTAGAGAACCTCCCCACGTCCCGGCAGACGCTGCTGTTCTCCGCCACGCAGACCAAGTCGGTAAAAGACCTGGCCAGGCTCAGCCTCAAAGACCCAGAGTACGTGTGGGTTCACGAGAAGGCCAAGTTCAGCACCCCGGCCACCCTGGAGCAGAACTACGTGGTGTGTGAGCTCCACCAGAAGGTCAACATGCTCTACTCCTTCATCAAGAGCCACCTAAAGAAGAAGATCATTGTCTTCTTCGCCTGCTGCAAGGAGGTGCAGTACCTGTTCCGGGCCCTCTGCCGTCTCAGACCCGGCATGCCCGTCCTGGCTTTGCATGGCAAGCAGCAGCAAATGAAGAGAGTGGAGGTTTACAATGATTTCCTCAGGAAGCAGAACGCCGTGCTCTTCGCCACGGACATAGCCGCCAGAGGCCTGGACTTCCCCGCCGTCAACTGGGTGCTGCAGTTTGACTGTCCTGAGGATGCAGACACCTACATACACAGGGTGGGCCGGACTGCCAGGTACAAAGAGGGGGGAGAGGCCCTGCTGCTGCTGCTTCCGTCCGAAGAGAAGGGCATGGTCGGCCAGCTGCAGGAGAAGAAGGTTCCCATCAATAAGATCCAGGTTAGACCTTCCCACAGCGTCACAGTCCACACAGAGTGAGTGGGGAAATAGGAACCAGTGCACAGTGTCATCCACCACAGCACAACTCAGATCTGTGGTCATTTAGGCTGTAGTTCTCTTAAAAATCTTTATAAAACAGTACTGGAGGAAGGAGTCAATAAGTTCACACTGCTACATTTTCTTCAGCGTAGTCCGCTCATTCAGCATTCACCAGACTTGAATATCTTAATGAACGATAAAGTTCCGGAATCCGTCTGTATGTTGAGTAGTTTCAGCTGCACTACAGTCATCCTCAATCATCTCCAACATAACTATGACAAATGTTCCATGAGTGTGACTAATCACCTTGATATAAACAGTGATTCCTGCAGTAATGTAGCCCAGGGTAAATGTTTCAGTGCAACTGCTGCCAACCTGACAGCTGCCTTAACGTGCACAGAGTCACAGTGTTATAAATAGGGATGGGGATCGATACCCGGTTCTAAAAGGACCCGGTTCCAAACTTTCTCAAAACCCGAAAATCAATAAGGCTTATCGATACTGCTATCGAGACTAGCGGGTCCTATAATGTAACGTTATCTCTCGAACGTCAAACCTGATTTAACTTAAAACGCAATGAATAAGAAAACTACTGTCTTTTTAGTGATGGTAGGGCTGGACGATATGGCCAAAAATGTTATCACGATAAAAGGTTTCATATCTTTTGATATCAATAATTATCACAAGTATCAAATTGTTATTTCTTTCGAGTTTACAGGCTGATTTATTCCCCTGTGTGAAAGTTGAAGAAACCTGATGGTCACTTGTGGTTTAAATTCTTCTTAATGGTCAACACTTGATGCCAAACAGTGGATCACTTCACAAATCTGGGGCAGAACATTTAAAACAATTCTGATAAAATCTTTGTCAACAAATATGCACAACTAAAATTAAGCTTAAGCTTTTTTTCAGTCCTTTTTTCCTCAACAAAATAAACATTGATTAAAAAAAAAAAAAATGTCCTAATTTATGTATGATTCAAATAAAGAAAGAAAAACACTTATTGAATATTTATTGAACGTTTGTTATATTGTTATTGAAAAAAAATGATTGCGATAATTATTGTTCTATTGTCCAGCCCTAATTGTCCGGGCCGGTTTTATACCACTTAAACTGTTTATCAACAGGCTGCAGCCTCTACTGCTCTCTGTTGGCTCCTACACACACACACACACACACACACACACACACACACACACACACACACACACACACACACACACACTCCTCATACCGTGCAGGACTACATCATGCCCGT